TCCATTGCGGGGGACGTCTCTCTCCTGCCAGAGGCATCCCTTTTCTTCTTATGGGACTCCTCTTTTTGCTTGGGCGCCCCTCTTCTGCTCGGAGCGGGGCACCACTCTCCTTTTACTGGGGCACAGCCCATCTGCTGGGGTTGCCCTTCCGCTGCCTCAGGGGCGCCCCTCTTGTGCAGAATATACTCCTTTTCTTCTTGTAATGAGGCGCCCCTCTTCTACCGGGGCGCCCATCTGCTGCTGGGGCGTCTGTCTTCTGCCGGATATTGTCAATGGGGCGCCCCTATCCTGCTTGGCGAGCCCAACTCTGCTGAAGGCTCCCCATCTCTGATCAACTTTTGCTGTGGCGCCTCTCTTCTGCTGGGGCGCCCCTCTTCTGCTGAGGGCGCCCCTCTCCTGCAGGGGGCTCCTCTCTTCTGCTGGGGCGCCCCCCTTCGCTGGGGCGCCCGTCTCCTGCTGGAGGCTCCTTTCTCCTGCTGGGCCCCCTCCGCTGCCGGGGGCACCCCTTTTCTGCCAGTGGCACCCATTTTTTTATTATGGGGCTTCTCTTTTTCTTTGTTGGGGCGCCTATCTGCGGTTAGGGCGCCCCTCTTCTTCTTGGAATGGGGGCGCCTCTCTACTTTTGCTGGGGCGTCGCTCCTCTTCAGGGGGACACCTCTCCTGCCAGGAGTGCCCCTCTTGAACAGAAGGCATCTTTTTATTCTTGTAATAAGACGCCCCTCTTCTGCTGGGGGCGCCCATCTGCTTCTGGGGCGACTCTGATCTGCTGGGAATGGGCAATTGGGCGTCGCTCTCCTGCTTGGTGAGCCCAACTTCTGCTGGAGGCGCCCTATTTCTGCTCAACCTTTGCGGTGTCGCCTCTGTTTTGCTCGGGGCGCCCTCTCTGCCGCGGGCTATGGGCGCCTTTTTCGGATGTCGGGGGGGGGGGGGGGCGGCCGCCCCCGTCGCCCCCCCCTGGATCCGCGCCTGGCTTTTTCAATGCATTGGAGCCGTCCATGTGTTTTGCATTGTGCATTTGTTATTGTGTTCACCAATTTTATAGGTACCTATCAGATTTCGTCTATACATTGGTGAGCGTTATTCTGTTAGTGATTGTACAGGTAAATAGGTAAATATGCGAATGCCTAAACTATACAACGCATGGTATTCGCAACACATTAATTAAAACCCGCGAGTTGCTGGGGAGGAAGGGGGGGGGGCGAAAGTCTGGGGACCTGTAGGGAATTGATTGAAGTTTATTGTGACAAACAAATCAACCGGAAAATTTTTGAGATATCGAGGTTTTAGTGACGTCATGCTTTCCGAGTTTTCGACCAAAAACGGCATATGTTCAAAAAATCATATAAAATCGCAGAATAAAGATGCAGACATGCCGTAAATGCCATTAGACTGCCAATACAGTTACCAATCAAATGGCTGTCTTCGATTTTTGACTACCGTTCCGCATTTTCCAAAGTCTGGAATTAAATCTTGCCAATTTCGCGTGACTACTTCACGACCATGATACATGCATTTCTTAAATTGAACTTTTTGAACCAAACACGTACACATATGATAAAATGAATGTCACCATCGTGTTCTACACCCGAAATTACCCATAAAACATGTGCCACAGGCTGCGAATATCAGTTTCGATTTCCGGGGCCTAGGTATCTGGTTGACCTGACCTTGACCCTGACCTATGCTTGACTGAACCCTACATGGATCTGACACTCTTGTAGGCCTTATATGATGGCTTGTGCACATGGGCGTCGCCACCACTACGGACACTACGGACAGTGTCCGTGCAAGTTTTGGAAGGCCCGAAAACTTGTACGGAATGTCCGTACAAGTTTCGAAGACTGCAAATACAGTCTTTGCAGTTTGCACATGTTTTGAAGTAGCTTAAAGCTTATCAGCCCCTATTTGTGGTTAAAGCTACGATCCAAGGCCGCCCCAAAGTCAATGTCACGCAAGAGTATATAGGGTGTAACGAGATTTGCCGGACATCTATTTTTTCGCCATATCTGTTCGCACAGTTTCTTTTCTGATGTCAGAAGCGGGAATGCTGGATGAGTAAGTGCCTCTAGTATCGACTCTCAACTCAGTGGTGACCTGACCTTGTCAGATGACTCTTGCTCCGAGTAAGAGTTGAGTCACCGACGGGTTCATTTGATAGTTTTCGACTAACGTAATGGAGAGAAAGGAGCAGTCTCTCCTTTCGTATTAACCCTCGCATGTGTGCGGCGTTTGCCAGCTTCTAATGTGTAGGGGGGGGGGGTCGGTTGGACCCCCCCCTTGCCGTTTGGCCCCTGATCGAGCTAGAGCTTCGCGGAAAAAACGAGCGTGTTGCCCGTGACGAGAGGAAGCCGATGATACCCAATTTTAAGGTCCTAGGTCATTGGTTGACCTTCCAGGTCAGGTCAATGACCCAAAGTCGGGAAAATCGGGACCTGTTAGAAAGTCGTAAAGTGTGGCTGCTAAGGGGTTTTTCGGGGTGCTGATTACGAATATCGTGTTAGTTTTGATCACAGATGATGTCTTGAAGCATTTAGACCAGGTCGGGTCAGGTCAGGTCAGGTCAACCAGTAGGCGTCGTGACGGGTATTCGTAATACGTGTCAACCGCCTCTGACAGCTTCGTAACATGTTACGAAGTCACCAAAACTACTTCGTAAATGTTCAAATGGTTGCTAAATTCGAATTCAGCTCCAAAAAACTAGCCTAGAAACATGTAAAACTCGAAAAAGTGACCCGAGGTCACCCGAGGTCACCAAAGGTCATTGACCTGACCTGACCTTCAGGTGACCTTGACACACACGGGAGTAACATCAAATCACATGTTTGAACGTTTGAAACCACGAAAAGCTTGCAAACACGCGGCTAGTGCGAGCCGACATACGCGAAATCGCGATTCCGGCCAAACATAGTCTCGGAAAAGAGGTCACAGGTCAAAGGTCATTTGGGTCAGGGTCATGAAATTTTCAGGGTAGGTGTAAAATTGATCAATGCGAGGGTACTGAAAGTTTCGTCGCGATCGGCCGCTTTTTACGCGAGTTATTCGCGAAAAACCATGGGGGGGTCCATCCGACCCCCCCCCCTACACATGCGAGGGTTAAAGAAACATGCTTGTCGCATGACGGCAATGATTATGAGCCTGAAGCTGCCAGCAGCTGGATATCAGCAGCAGCCAGCTGCACATCTACCTGGGGCGCAATAAGCCAATAAGCTGGGACTTGATTGGTGAACTCCTATTGAGTGAACTCAGCCTGGCCGCGACCGCAAAAGCTGCCCTTTACCAAGTGGTTAGGAGCGTTGTCAAGATAGCGACAAGGAAACGGCAACAATCAATCCGCAGATTGACTTGAATTCTTGGCAAGGCAGATAATAAGCGGGCCCACATCATGACTTATCGCTCTCCGCCCCTTAACTTTGTTCTTCTGCCCATTAAACTGAAAAAAAGACAACGAAGTCGACGGGAAAATAGCCAGTGCGCCCGCTTTGGCCTCACGCCATGACGCATCCACTGGTCGAAGGAAGACATGAGCAAGGTGGCCTGGTGGAATGAGTAGCTATTCGCGCTGTATTGTCCTTTGAACTATCAAAGCGGCCTTGTGTTGGCTGCCAGTAACTCAAACGTGCCGGCCGTCACCGCGGCGTCAAACATCCGGCCAAGGCCCAGGTCTGAAGCATATTCAGCTGCTGTGGGATGTTCCAACTGTGCATTGTGTCACAGAAGACCACCATCAGTAACGAGCATTACCGGAGCAATATCCTGGCAAGCAAGTAGTTGGAGCCGCTCAATCGGACGGCACGAGAGGGCTCGGTTTCTAAAAGGGTTTGATTTAAGCATGCTGCCTTCGTGCAGGCTGGAGCGCTACATTTAAGTCCGTAGGAGAATGAGAAGTGACGACGAGAGAAGCTCCTTTCCTTCTGGACTAACGGTCTACAAATAGCTGTCATCCTAATTCCATCGAGATTTTATGGACTTTTGTCCAGCAGGAGGTGATTAAGGGGACACCCGTCTCCAGCACCGTCCAGCTGTATGTAGGCACAATATCGGCGTCAGTCCACATCAAACCCAGCTGTGCTTGAAAACCCAGTGGCTGGAATGCTCCAGGCATTTCTAAATATGATGTTATGAAAGGTGGGTATATCATCATCAAAAGGAAAAACCTCACCTCAAATTGTCTTGTTTCTTAATTACAGCAGGAAGAAAGGTGTACAGAAAATGTCGTTACACCCTGTATCCTCCTATGTATAGGCTATTTCACTGATACGTCAGCCATAATAATTATGTCACTTTTGTTATGCTGAGGCCCTAAATGAATGCTCGCTTAGAGCAAAAGGAACACTGAAAAACAAAATGAATCTCCTGATGACCTGATCATTGAAGTCTATACCCCAATTATTCCCTTTTGATCTCTTCATTATACCTATGGGGTATATTCATGGAATCGCAATTGGCTTCATATTCCCATGATATTCCCTCGTCCTCCATGAATTATTGATTCTCTTAATAAGCTCTTGATATCACCCTTTGAGAACCATATTATGCCATTGATACCCCAAATGATTCTGCATGATTCCGTGCGTATAAGATGCTGTTGATACCCCAGTCGCTGATAGTTATGCCTTTATGATTCTCTATCTATTCTTGCAATATACCCTTTCATTGCCCAGAGGGTATCTTGCCGGGATCACAGGGAGGCTCATATTCCCTTGAGATGCTTTCATATTCTTCTGTTATGCTTCCTTTGCCTGATTCTTTCAAAATACTCTTGATATCACCCGAGTAGAACCATATTATTCCTCAATGATTCTTCGTTGGAAGCATCAGGAACGCGCCAAAGGTCCGCCATTTTTCTCCGCCATTTCCGGTGATCAGTGAAGAGCGGTGTTGGGTGCTGTGTGGTTGCGAGTGGTGCCATTCTTAGGCTGGAATTGAGCCTTATTGAGGGTGAGTACTTAACATGAGGAACTCGTATGACGATGAAATGCTTGGATTGACTTAGGCCCTTGATTTTTCATATGTAGTGTTCTTCTAAGGTTGCGGGTGAAAACTGGCTCGCTTGCGGGCTAAGAAGTTGCGGCGACCTAAAACCCCAATACACACATAATCTAGTCAACGATGGTATGTTACCTATATACAAACATCCCATTCCGTTTCTGTCCGCAGCTCTGGAAAGAGATGGAACTTATCGCTGGTAAGCCTGTCCAGCAAGAGTACAACGCCGCCCTGGGTGCTGTTTTGGACAAGGTAGTGGAGAAGACGTCGCGCAGTCGAGGTGAGAATGCACTTGCGACTTAAAATGCATTTTGTGGGAAAATGCGCCTGCAATATTATGCTGATAATATTGGTCTTTAATTATGGGTGCTATGTGCTCAGTTCAATTTCAAATATTTGCTTAGTTGCGGTCATGTCACAAAAGGCCAGCATGTTAAACCACTTCACTTGCCACATGTAGTTACGAGTCCACTCGTCCAGTACAGCACTCAAAACTTTTTTACTACCTCCTGGAGAGTTCATTTTCATCAAACCCGCAAGATAAGAGTATATTGAAAGGGTAACTCGCTGCTACCATTATGTGCATAGTAACGGTACGTGGTTAATATGAACTTATTCGCCAGCGAAGAGTATTATTACCATGTAAATATCAATATTACTCTCGCGATCCAGAACATCATGAAAACTCTTTCCTCCTGGGTATCGTGACTCGTGTACAGATAGTCGTTTCATGCGTGGATCTTGTTTACCCTCGTGAAGATGATATTTGAAATGGAACCATTCAGCCAATCAGAAACGAGATCGGCCGTTTGCGGTTTGAAGGCCGCGCGCATCTGTCAGTTTTCGGCCGTTGGTCTCCGAGAGCGGATGTGAGCAGTGTCGGTGCCGCGCGGCGTGGCCTTTGGTGATTGTGCTTGTGTGTTGTTCAATGTTCATCGCCTATAGAGCCTCTATGGACATTTTGTTGTAAGTACCGATGTGCTAGAGCATTGCGTGCCGTTGAGTGGTGCTAATTTGACCTGGTTAACAGGACCCCATGCACGGCCACGTGGCCTAGTGTTGTGAGTACGTACATTAATTTTGTTGTGATGCTACAAGTTTATGCATTTTGTTGGTGACTTTGAAAAAGACTTGTACTGTAGTGATCCAGTCTCATTATCTCACGCAGACGGGCGACCACCCAGGAACGCCGTCGCTCACTTCAAATATTGTGCGATGTGCCTTATCCAATATGAGGGCGCTGAATGTCTTGTAGGTATTCATATTCAAATTGCATTCAAGTTGTATCGTGGTGTTTATTTAGGTATCGCTTGTGCATTGCTGAACGCTTTGTATAAATTCGTATGAATGAGTGAAGAGTCTCACAATGTTCATGGCTGGTGTGCCCCTCGTATTGTTTGTACGGAAGCCAAATATACATTGTTGCTCTTGAAGCATGTTTTTTTTTTAGTTGGTGAGCTCCGGTTAACAGAAGCTTCGTGAAGCTTCTGAAGGAAGCGTCTGTGAGTCTGTTACCATCCTCTGGGGGGTTTACACTAAAGGAAAGAGTAAACATTACCATGTGACAAAGGGTAGGCCAGAAGAATATACTCTCTGTAGGAGGGTAAAGCACAGAGTAGATGATGACTTACTCCCTAGAAAAGGGTTCCGTTAAAGATTTACCCTTCCAAAGAGTGTAACCCAAAAAATGTTACACTCTAGACAAGAGTAAATCAAAAGAGTTTACCATTCATAAGATGGTAAAAAACGTCTGTGTGTCATGTTACCCCTCCCTGGCGAGTTTACTCTTCATGAAAGAGTAAAATTTACCATCTGGAAGGTGGTAAAAAACGTCTGTGTGTCAAGCTACCATGCTATGGCGGGTTTACCCTTCAGGAAATGGTAAAAAAAGTTTTCAGTGAGTAAGGGTAACAATCCACATCCAACAATCCAACAATATACAGTAACAATCCACTCGTGTTGGACGTATGGATCGTTTAGTTTGTTCTGGCATACAATTTTGTGGCGAGGACAAGTCAACAAAGTGTGAAAAAAAACGTAATATTTTAAAGCAAGTTTTTTTTTGCATTTAAAGTACATGTTTCGATACTATGTAGAAACTGCTCAGGATTTCGACTGTGTATTCCGTTTTTTTTTTTACTGTACTATATAGGGCGTCCAGAATTAGTTCGTAATAGTGACTTTTTAGTTAGAAAAAAATGGCATCGCCGCATTTTGGATCGATTACGGTGCGCATACTGTTGCACGTAACTTCGCAAAATATCGACACGGGGTAGCTTCCAGCTGCATCCCTGGACCCGTCAGTGTGAATAAAAAATATCCGCAAATGAGTAAGTGATATGTCCGTCGTCCTTCTTGCCTGATCCACAGAGGACGCGGCGCTGGTACTGCTGCGCCTTCTGGGTGAGGAGGGAACGGTCGTCATGGAAGCGCCAGCGGCGACGATGACACGTCCCCTGATACACGAGCGGGAGACGAGTTTCGACATCGTGGTCGAAGAAACAGTGATGGCCAGCGCCCAGTGCCTTGAAGAGGCACTCCTTCTCTTCGGGGTCGCCCACTACGTCTTCAACCAGAAAGTGTCCCGTGCATCGCGCTCCACGATGTGGTTCATCGTCCACGACATCCTGGGGCTGCCGGCAGAGTCAACAGCGACGGCGGACGCGCTGAAAAATCTGTCGGTGCTGACAGCATAGTGTGCCCGCGCAGTGAGGTAAGCCCAGGGGCGGAGTGGAGACGGAGTGATGGACGGAGATGATGGAGACGGATGTGATGGCCCGCCCCACAGGGAAAGGGGTCACAAGCGGCATGGACGGGCCTATTGACATCCTGTGGCAGCCCCTGGGATACGTTGTCGGACTTTCTTGAGGTCAGGGAGGGGGAACTTGTAGGAGCCACACGCTCAACTTTCGTTGTGTAGCAAAGGTGGGAAAAACCACGCCATTTGAAGGGGCACCGGTTGTTTTGCGACTCCTTCGTAAGAGGGAACGGTCATCGTAGAAGAGCCAGCGGCGCTTCTCGTGTGTCATGTGTTTTTTACGGCCTGGATCTCAACATGTGATATGGCATTTGTTATATGAGGCGTGTGCGTGACGTATGTTTAATATGGATAGTACAAATTGAATGTCTCTTGGCAACTAGGAAGCTGTGATTTTGAAATGAATGCAGAGGCAGTTGTCTTTCCAATCAATACAGTACGTTTTTCTTATACACACAAGCGTATCGTGGTTGCTGTTGGTGTGGCTGAGCGTCGATGGCATGGGCGGATCCAGGAAATTCAGAGGAAGGGCGAAGGTGGTTACATAAATGGCGTCTCTTACCTTTGTGTGGGTAAAGAAATCAGTGCGCTGGGTATCTCATGGGGATCTCAGAGGAATAACATGACCCCGCGAGCCCATCCCTTGATCCGCCACTGCGGAACGAAGCATCAATGGGGTATATAGAGAGCATCAAAGGAGCATCAATGTGGTGTATAGAGAGCATCAAATCAGCATCAATGGGGTATAAAGAGAGCATCAATGGGGTATGTAGAGAGCATCAAAGGAGCATCAATGCGGTGTATAGAAAGCATCAAAGGAGCATCAATGGGGTTTATAGCAACCATCAAAGGAGCATCAATGGGGTATATAGAGAGCATCAAAGGAGCATAGATCGGGTTTAGACGGAGCATCCGAACTATGCTAGGGGGCATCAAAGGGGCATAGAGGAGAATCAGGGGGAATACACTAGGCATTTCGTAAGAATAATGGAGGCATAACCAGATAATCATTTTGATTCCACTTAGCCATCCAACAGGCATATTAGGGTAATAATGTTGGGATATTGGGAGTATCTAAGGCCAAAAAGGTGCTACTTGAAGTATATTACGGGAATAATTGGGGTTTCGTTTTAGACCATTCTCCTAATATCACCCCCCCGGAATCATTTTAGTTTTCAGTGAATGACAAAATCGTGAGCAGTGACTTCAAATACAGCAAGAGACTGATCATGTGTAAAAGTCAACCAAAGGCCATTCGAGATCACATGAGGTCAACAAAAGTTGACCTTTTCAAACAACCTGTATGTCATTCGACGCGTCTTGATATGACTAATGCGTTGGTGCCACTGCTTTAGGTCTAGGACCTTTTTTGTTGAAGACATCTGCAAAAAAAAAACCTCGGAGGTCGGGATCGCTGACCTGCCCTCTGACCCAATGTAGGTACTAGGCATAAAAAATGTCTTTGTATTTTTTCCGAAACCTCTAGGCATTCGGGGGCTATCGCAACTATCCGTCCGGGGTGGGGAGGGGAGGGGGGAGGGAGGACGAAAAACACCCCCCGGGCCCGCGTGGGTTAACGCTTCTGACAAGTGTTACGCCTGACAGAATGTGTCCGTACAAGTTGGGGAGCCGTGGCGACGCCCCTGCTTGTGCACCGTTTTGACAGAGTTTATGACAAGAGACGCCCATTGCGAGGTTCTGAAGTCCGTGCTACTGAAAGCCCGATTTCAGGTGTTTGACCTGACCTTGACCCAGCCTGTGACCTCAAAATTCAATTTTAAAGTACTCATCTGAAGCGTCTCGTCGCGTTCTTTCGTTTGCCGCTTTGTGCGTATCGCTGCGCCTATTGGTTCTCGAGGTATCAGCTTAGGGCGTTTAACGCCCCCCCCCCCCCCCAGCAAATGGCGGGTGGCGAAATACCCCAGCAACTCCCGGGTTCAGTGTTCTGTTCTGATACATTGCCTTTACAGCCACACAATAGGAATGAGTGCCAGATCACAGAGGTAAGGTCATTTAATTGACTGCATTCAGCCACCACTCATAAGGAGCTACATAAGGAGATGAAATGTTGACCTCCACATCAACCCGCGCCGGGCTGGTGCTTGGCGCCAACCGCGCCGGGCCGGGGGTGTCTGAACACCCCCTCCCCCGTGTAACTCGGCTCCTGGGCCACATAGCGACACGTGATAAGCGGCATTCGAAAGAGCGTCAAAAATAATGAAGACAATACTTCTGTCATTTTTTAGGTCAGGTCAAAGGTCATGTCGCCAGAGGTCATCAAAGGTCAAATCTGGCTTTCAACCATTTTCGAAAACCCGGCACATAACTCAGTAACCAATGGAGCTAAAGCACCGCCGAAAAGCGCATTTGATAGCTCTTTCAGCTTTTTTTCGCCGTCATGTCCTCAAATTTGACCTTAAACAGGTCAACGGTTTAAACTCCAGAGGGCAAAAACTCCAAAAATAGCCGTTTTATGAAAAACAGTTTTTTTCTGCACTCTCTTTTGACTCAAGAAAGTGGCGAGTTTTATTTTGCCAGCATCGTGTTCCTCTCGTCGAGACCGTCGAATGAACTATAATTTGACATCGAAAGGTCATTTTGAAAATTTGACCTCAGGTCAAGGTCATGACCTTATTGGAAAAGGCTATGCTGCATATCAATCGATCCGTATCGTCGAGCTGAACACATCTGAGGTGTTTTCAACGCTCTAGGTTGTCTCTATCAAAAGTTATTGTCAAAAAACTGCTGGGAACCTTTTATGACCTGATATGGCCTCAAGGGACATAAGGAGTGGTCGCGGGTACCATTTTTCGGTCCAGCTAGTCAAGTCTACCTGTTCCCAATGATTGAAAGTGTTTGGAATGACGTTCGTCCTAAAGATACGCGTTTCAATTTTCTCCCATTGACTTATGATGGAGAGGTCACAAAACTGACCTGACCTTAGGTCACCGATATCAAAATTCCGCAATATAAACTTTGCATGTATTGTTATGCTTATCAATCGCTGAAAGTTTCAAGGCGATCGTTAAGTCAGTGTAGCTATGACGAGGTTTCTAACCTTTTTCTGAGGCGAGGTCACTTGACGTGACCACTGACCTGACCTTTAGAGACCTGGATCTGCGATTTTCACATGTTCGGAAAAATGCTTGAACAGGCTCTGTGCCGCCGTTTTTGAGATACCTATCTGCGAAAAGCCGCAAGGGGGGGGGGTTCAAACATCCCCGGCCCGGCCCGGGTTAAAAGCGCGGCAACAGCGAAAAATATTTCCAATGCGCCTCATGCTCGCGGTTTGATGTAATACATTAAAGGCTTAGTCCACCCAATGTTCACTCAGTACCCTAGTTTCGCCATGTACATTGCACAATGTAGGTAACACCTATGTAAGGCACCTGTGTTCCATGGGATATTCTCGTTGAGGATATGTTGCATGATGCGTACGTGAGCGCGACAGCGTCCAATTAAGCGACTTACATTGGGTACCAAAGCATGAGCGGTTGGCCAACTGTGTGGTTCTCTGGCATTCAGTGGTAAGCTACTTGAAGATTGTATAACCACAAACAAATTCCAACGCGTCTCATTGAATGGCCAGTATTGCACAATGTCTGTGCCAGACGAGACCGTTAGATTTCGACAAATATTCTTAGGTATTACTGCTTGCGCATTACAAAACCTGTGAATCAGTCGTCTCATTAGTAACATTTATTAGGTGACAAGTACTAATAGCCCCCGCTTAATCCAATTAGGTGCATGGAGCCGGCTCTGTCTGGACCCAGCTTTGTTGACCGCAAACTTGGCCCACACACTCACTCTCAGTCTGTGGTGATACCTCCCTTGGTGATACCAAGCTGCCGTTGGTGACACCGACACCGCCACACGTCGATGGCACCGGCCTCCTCCGCACTGACTCTGCTACCAGCAAGCCGTCAAGTATCTGCCTGCGTCTGCCAGCATGGAGGGTCGGACCGTGCAAGCTGAAGCTCCGATCGAACGACTTTGGTGTAGGTTGATTGTCGGGACGTCGCGGGTCATGCATAGATGAGCAGATGTTGGTGTTTGACGTTAGATTCAGATGTTAGAAGTGGTGTGAGATGTCAGGACTCAGAGCCCTCAGATCCCCCCCCCCCACCCAGGTGCTGCTTTTCGATGACTCGCCTCTCGGTGCAGAATCAATTATTCAGGAGTTACCGGTCGCTCACGGCACCGTTCGCGTGATTGCGGTCCACTCCAGACGTTTCACTCCAAACACCAAAGCCGTGTTTATAGACCACACACACACACACACACACACACACACACACACACACACACAACGTTTATTAAGGAACAAAAGATACACGAGAAATAAAGCATGATCAATGAAACATATGGCACAATGTAGCAGCATAAAAGTGATAGCAGAGTGGTGCAAAAGCGCAATCGCTTAACCCGGCCGGGCCCGGGGGGTAATCCCAACCACCGCAGCCCGGGGGGCGTTTTTCGCCCCCCCCCCCCTGTCTAACTCCGTAAATAAGGGAGCTACGGAAACAAAAGCGATACCAAACGAAAGGTCCTTACGAGACGATTCTAAAGCACCTAAAATTTTTGACCTCAGGTCAATTTTCAAGGTCAGAGGTCAAGGTCAAAGGCAAAAACCGGCATATGTGTAGTGATCTCAAAGTAAGCCATCTAGAGGACGGCAGGCTACATCAAACCGGCAAAATTGGGTGTCAAACGAAAGAAGAGAATCTGAGGATTCCAAAACTGTGCTCAAAATCAAAGGTCAAGGTCAAGGTCACGCTCAAAATTGGCCTCAAAATTTGCACTTTTTCGCACATCTTGCGTGCTAACTTCCAAGATGTTTTGAAATGTTTTGAGGCTTATCAGTTCCCTATTTGTGGTTCATCTTACGATACAAGGCTGCTCAAAGGTCAAGGTCACAGAAGAGTATCCCTGCTAGAGGCTATTTCACTAATTCAAGTTAGTAATAATAAATAAGACAATTTTGCCATCCGGAAGCTCTAA